AAAAAAAATTGACAAAAGAAATGTAAAAAATATTTTCGCCGTGAGTGTGAAAATTGCAATCAATATACCAGGAGTCTTGAGAAAGTAGTGACTAGCATCCTTGAGATTGGAATATTCCAATCTCGTAATATTATACAAATCCGATTATTTAATCGAATCACGTTAACTTAATTATACTTAAGAGAATAAAGGCGAGTCGTGAATTAAGAGAGAAAAGAATGATTACTACACGTCGAATGATAGGATAAAAGGAAACTAAAAAATGATGTCACTTTCACGGCGCCGCCTACCATTGAAGTAAACGTATTCATGGTTGTCGCTGTCGAGCGATAGAGGGTAACAGGGCAAACTGTGATATGGGGAGGGGAATGGGGGAGGGGTCTATCAATACGTGGCCCGTCTCCTCTAATAAAGATCGATGGGGTTTAATTAAATGCTCACCGTAGGAGGAAACGAGATCGATTAAGACGCTATAGGGTGCATTTGCAGCACAACATAAAAAAGTATTAAAAAAAGGTGTGCTTGCTTGCGTGTTTGGCTGCGTCTGCGTATGTGTGCGTGTGCGCGTGTGCGCGTGTGTGCGTGTGTGCGCGCGTGAGAGAGAGAGAGAGAGAGAGAGAGAGAGAGAGGAAGAAAAAAAACGAGACGATAATAGAAGAAGCATTTGGATATACGAGTATTAATGCAAGAATGAATATGAGTTTCGGCTTCAGCCTCATTCCTTTTACATTTTCCTCTCATCTTTTTTTCATTTGCAGTATAGTCAGGCACTGTGTGATCACGCATCTATTATACTTTGATTGAGTATTATAATTTGATCGAGTTTACTTTGATGACCGAATGATTAATCTACAGCCTTCTGATTATTATATACATTTAAAGATACAAATAATTTAAAAACAATAATACACAATTCTTCCGTAATTAAAACAATGTGAACATTCGGCTAATGAAATTCTCTGATACTTTATGTTGCTTAACTATCGATATTATAATAATGTATTCAGATGGCTGTCGGTAAATTCAAGATAAATCTGATTTTATGCAAAAAAAAAAACGCTTTTAAATATCTTTTGTAAAGCCAATTGCAAAATTAGCAACAAAGTAAATTTTTAATATATATATATATATATGTGCGCGCGTGTGCGTGCGTGCGTGCGTGCGTGCGTGCGTGTGTGTGCGCGCGCGTGTGTGTGTGTACGAAAGAATAGAAAAACCATGTTGTTACTGTTCAATTAATATTATGAAGCGTAGAAGCATTCCGTGATTTGAGATAACAGGGACAATGGTTCACGATATCGCCTAACGATAAACTATTGTGAAAATATAATATTAAATCGAAAAATCTCTAACGCGCCTATTTTTATAATACACAGTGTGCTGCAAATCTCTTATACAATAGCGTTTTATAACCGAAAAGTTTCCTTCAACCTGTATTCTCGCCGCTGCCTTAATACGTCTATATTGCTCCTTATGGCGATGTGCGCAGCTTCCGATCGTCAATAACCTCCCGAGGCACACATTTAGGATGCCCCGGTCTTCTCAGACTCATGCGAACAATAATTCTCGTTGCCTTTCGAGGTGACAAATAAGGGGGATTCCCGCGGAGCGACTCGAAAAGGCAAATGCACGCGCGCGCTACCACCAATGCATCTGCCCACTGACAATGGTAATGGGCGTGAAATTTCGGAAATATCTACGGGCGCGCCCGCTGACAAATTTTGCTTTACACTCCGGACTCGTGACCAGGTGCTCCCTTTTTTTCTCTCCTTCCTCCTCCTTATACGCGTTTGGCCGCTGCGGTTTTACGTTGAGGCGCGAGCCTTTTCTCGTGCATGTCCGGCATCAATGAGTTTCCTCTTTTTCCCTGGGCGTAAGGAGCGACTCGTCTCGGAGAGGAAGATCGATGCGAGGGACACGGACAAGAAAGGAGGATATGCTAGCGCGCTGTCTTTCTCTCAGTCTCATTGCTGATTTAATTTTCATCGGGCGTCGAGGCTCGTTAGAACCACAAACACGATCCTCGTTAGATTCGAATCTAGGCGATTCATCATGTTCACTAGCTTCCTGACTGCCCAGTCGAAGAGATTTACAAAGCATTTATGCAATTTCACGATTTCCATTAAGAACGATATTTTCTTCGTGCGATGCTGAATTCCCGTAAAACAAGTTATGCATAGTGACTCCTGCAACTCATCAAAGATTTTATTTTCTTATTTACTTAATGTTGGAGCTTTAAAAAGTTCTAATTTCTGTAGCATATATTTACTAATTTTTTTTTCTCTCACTTTTTCCACTTTAGAAATAGTTTTAATGATTTTTACTACTCTACGTTTCACATTGCATTAATCTTTTTCATTTAATGGAGAACTTTAAATTACCTTACTAATACACACTAATATAGTGTTAATAATTAAAAAATATTTATTCTCATAATAGCAATATCCACAATAGTGTGCTTAAAAATAATTGAAGTAAATTAATTACATGGACGAAGAAGATTTTTCATCGCGTAAATTATATTTATTATATTTTACTCCGATTATAAAAATTTCAGATTATTTTCAACGTTTTAAACATATATGTGTGTTAGCAATATTAAAAGACTTTACTAATTTCAAGTAAAAAGTATACTACGTTCATTTCAATTCTTAGCTTTACTTTGTATTTTTAAACATTTTAATTGATTTAAGTTAATCTATTTGTGAATTATTTTAAAGCTTTCCTACTATAAATCCGAATGCTACGGAAATACAGTTTTACACGGATATATGTGCATATATATGGTTTAGATAGAGCAAGTTACATATTCAAATCAATATCATTTTATTGTATATTTTTGGTTGTTTTTTTTTTTTGTTTTTTTTTGTTTTTTTTTTTTTTTTTGTTTTTTTTTTTTTTAATGCCTTGTCTTTATTTAATAAATTAAAAATTTAATTTATAAGCACAGTTATAAATTTCATGTAAAAAAAAAAAAGTGCGACTTAACATTATTCTCACTAATTCGTTTACTATCCTTAACCTCTATCGGACATATTATTATTTTAAAAACTTGCAAAAATCTAATTGTAATATGTACCTAACATTTGTCACCGAACTGATTATCACACGTTTCTGTTCATAATATCGAGTATATTATTGTTATATAAAACAATATGGCCAGTAATCGGTAATCATCAGTAAGTAAAAATCAACAGAATCTTTTAACTTATAATTAAGCAGTTAAGTTATTCTTAAAGATTTAAGCTGAAAATAATAATATAATCAGTGAATTGCTAATGAAACAGTCGAATTGAGCGGAGATAGTACGCTCACATGAATAGTAAAAGAAAAAAAAAAGTTTAAAAAAAAGTTAGTCCTTTAAAAATCCATTCACCGAACTACTAAAAAACACGCATGACCTCTTAATTCGATGAGGTCCTCGGTATGGCGCAAGTTGATGAAGCGTCACGTGTACGTAAGTATACGGCCCAACTGGAAAGGCACGGATTCCAGGAGGCGATCGAGCCTTGCACTTAGGAACTTTGCAATGATGCAAGTCCCGTCCCGGCAAGTCGACAAAGGCCCCGGCGCAAGGCATATAGCGTCACGCACACCTTGGACAAGACTGCGCATATATCGATTTCCCGGGGGGGGGGGGGTGCGAGCGTCTCGTGGGCGTCCTTAAAAAGGCATTTAACGCTCGTGGCCGAGTGGCTGGTCCTTTTGCCGTAACAAAGGAGACGTGGTGTCCCCGTAAGGAGTATACGCGTGCACGGCATCCTCGCAGCTAATTTCGTCAGCTGCTGGTACTGCCGGCAGACGTTTGACGCGCGCCTCTACAAACTGCGTTAAATTCCAAAAGAGAAGAATGGCGCGCGCGCGTTGAAGAGGTGAAGGTTGATGCCGGTTAATGGGAAGAGGAGGCTCAATTGGTCGTTGAATTATGGTCGAAGCTGGGCCGGGGATACGTCGATGGGACAGGAGTCGCATTGTCAAGCGAGTATTAAAGTCCACGAGGTGAAATATTAATTTAATGTCACACTTATTTCCTCAACGAGAAATTGAGACTTTTATATATTAGGTGCTTGATAATCTTGAAAATTAGTCGGCTTGATGGAAAGGTGGGGTGCTGCGGCTTTAAATTTAAATTAAAAGATTTTTATATAGATAACCTTTACAAAATTAAATGGATTCATAGTTAAATATGCTTAAACGGCTATTGTTTATGTATTTTTTATATCTTAAGTAAATGCATAAACATAAAATTGTTCAAATATCCGTGTTATCATGTGTACAATATATTATTATGTATAATAAAAATAATAATATATAGGAGCAGTAAGTAAAGAGCAGATATAATAAAGAGAAAATATATACGGTTACATCATTTAACATTAACATGTCTATTGCGCGCAATATATATATATATAATTATGCAGTTACAGAAACTTTACGAAAAATCTTAATTATGTAATATTTTAAATGGATTCGTAACATGTAGAAGCACAATTTACTTTCTTAAGTCGATATGGATTATTTTATGATAGTGTCAAAAAAAATTATTGTATAATTGTCCGAGTTGAACAAAATTTGTTTAATTACTAAATCGAAAATAATTTTTGTGTTCTTCTAATCAAATTATAAATCATATTTTCATTCATTTTCAATGTATTGTTATTAAAATATTGAACATTTATTGGGGGAGGGGGGGAATGAAAATACCAATACGAATGGCAAAGAAAATTACAAAATTAAAAAACTAAATTAAATAAAAAAATTGAAAAAAAAGTAAAGCGTTATATTATTTAAGTCACTAAATATACGTTCACTGTATCAAAGTATATTATGCATAAAATTCTATGTACCGACCATCATTATCATATAATAGCTATTACTAAATATTTATACACAGCAATTTTCCATACTAGGACTTCAAACCCAGCGCCCTCATATTATTGTGGTTGATTCTTTCTTTTTTCTTCTTTTTCCCTCCCTCTTTTCTCTCTCTCTCTCTCTCTCTCTCTCTCTAAACTTACTGCATCGCACACTCGGTCTTTCTTCCTGATTTGAAACATCCTGCTGCTCACCATCAGGAAACGCTTTGCATGGATAGAAAAGGGAGGAAGCTTCAGAAGCGGAGAATAGAAAAAAAAAGAAGTTCAAAAGTTTTTGACCACCCGAGTAGCTTAAATACTTTACAATGGCTGTCAATATTTTTGAGACTACCGGTGTTCTTTCTCTTCCTCTTGTTTCTTTTCCTTGCGAGTATAGCAAAACTTCTTGCTTAAATACGTCAGTCAAGAGTTTCCAACGGCATCCAAACTTTCATTCAGTCAGCAAACTTGTTTGGTTTGAATTCCATCACGTATGTCGTTGAATTACCGAAGAAATGTGCAAGTGTTATGCTCTAAAGAAAGACGACGATTAAACTTCCTGGCGTTTAAATGCGAAAGAGAGTGAAATGAATTAGAAATTTTCCTCATTATTATAATATGACAATTCACACTAACGAATGAATTTTACATTTAACTACAAACTTTTATTTACCTCGGTCAAGTCTTAAACATTAAATTTTAATACAACAATCTCACGATATGTTTATTTATTTTCATTTATTTTCATTTCATCAAATTATATTAAATTTACTTTAAAGTTAAATAAAACATATAAAAAAAATACTACAAACGTAATATTCCGGAAAGATTGAATAAATTTTATATATACTTTTTCTATTAAAAAAATATAATCTAAGACAACAATTTAATAATGAATTAAGTTATACATAAAATAAGGGTTTATCTAGTATATTTTCGTAATGATAATTTGGATAGATTAACAACGAGTCAAATTAATCTTTTTTATAAAATATTCCATTTGGAGTCACGTTTTCCACAAATTTATTGAAATTTTTGCATTTTAAATTTAATTTCTTTTACAATATTAATATATGAACTCTAATTCTGATATATTATTTTCTATTACTTTCTATAATTTATTTTCTAATTCTAAAGTAATGTATTAAATATTAATCCTAAAATCATGTAAAAAAATATGATATTTTTATCTTTGATTGAAGCAATAGGATAATAATATTATAATCGACATATTTTGGAACATTCATGTTCATATTTTCCCTACTTATCCATAAAATTAATCATAATAAACTCATAATTAGTACGGTTATTTTCTTTAATAAGTACATTAAGTATAAAATATTAATTATACATGTGTATGTATATATGAATTTACATAGCACAGTGGACTATATTTTTCATTTTAAATTATCTATGTTTATATTTCCATTCGTTATTTGTCTTAATAAAATTAAATTATTCACCATAAAACTTCATAGCTTATACTAAATAAAATAAAATATATAATATACAGAATTATAATATAAGAATTATATATGATATATTATAATTCATTAATTATATTAAATTCGCATATTTTGTTTCAACGTAATACTATATAATTACTATGCAGTAAGTATACTATACAATTAATATATACTTTATAATTATTTACAATAGAATCATAAATTAAAATGAATATAGAATCTAGAAATTAAATAATAGTGAATTAAATAATAGTGAAAATTTATTTCAATTTAAATTTGCTACTCTCATAATTGCGGCAAACTTTCAAATAATTAAATATTCAAAATCATTGATTAAAATCATCGATTAAAATTTGAATTTTTTGTTCACTTTAAAAATACGCTTCACTTTGCTTTTTTTAATAAATAATATGTATACGATATTTATGAAATAATTTTTAATTTTTTGGCGTATGAAAATATTAAGAAAATATGAAAGAATACGTATACAAAAAGCATAATGTTGCTCGTAAACTGCAAAGTAACGACATTAACAAATTGATTATAAAATTATAAATGTTAACATAATAAACAGCGAGTATCGAGTATTGTAAGGAAAAGCTTTTGATTCGAACACTAAAATAAGCTTGAGATATTAGAAAAGTGTAAAGCAAATAAATATAATTGTGAAAGTCCTATAAGTACAAATGAGTTGGATAAATGACAAGCTGAGTAAAGAAAGGAAAGAGAAACGAAAGGGGAACTGGTGAAATAGATATGGAAGGGGGAGGTTGAATAGTGAAAGCGCGTGTGAACGTGTGGAGTTTGAAAAAGAAGAGGTGAGCCTTCGACGCTTCGTGCACGAGGGGTTGGAAAACTCATAAGTTTCAATTTAGCGAGGATCAGCATCCTCTGGAACTAAGTAAAAGAGGAGAGATAATGTTAAAGCCTTTAGAACATAGTGAGCAAGCGCCTTATTGATTTTATTCCCGGTTACTTTACTATGTCAATTTCTCTCGTATTGTAAGGAACAGTTTCTGTAATTAATATAAGAGGAATGACGTCGTTAACGAAAAGCAAAGCCCAGTAACATTTTATCGCTTGATCTCTTCTTTTTTCTATATTTAATGTGTTTTTCTTTTAGAAAGAATATATCGTGATGTAAGTTTTTACCTTCTTTATGTTATTGAATTGTGTCCATACATACACACACACACACACACACATATATATATATATGTATATATATATATATATAGAAACGTGAAAGATATAATATTTTATTATAACAGTATTACGTTAATATTGCGCAAAACCAATCTTATTTACTTTTAACTTAAATAATTATGTGTGTATAATTTTTATTTCTTATTAAATTTCTTAAAATTATATAATGTAGAATTATCAATTATGTCGTACTACATTTAAATAAAATTCTATCACAAAATGCCATTATAATTATTCATAGATAAATTATAAAAAAAAAAAGAGAGAATGTATTCTAATCCATCGAAGAAGAAATTATCAAAATTGTCCACAAAAAACAATTATCTAAACGCATAAAATTTTATTCTGCAAATGCAAAGCTTTATAACGATCTTCTTATAAAATTGTTGATTAATCGAAACAATAATATCATTAATATCTGAAAATAGATTTATGCAGTCAGTTCTCACTATGATACCCGGAAGTCCGAACAAATTCGTCATCATTTAAAACAAAAAAAAAACAATAAATAGTCACGATTTCTGGCAAACACTAATGATTCGCCTTCTACCCTGTCACATAAGTGTTTTAGAAAGGCACGTGTGCGGATGCAATATGCATTATATGACTTTGAATATAAATAAACGACTATACACGTTGAAATATTATCATAAATTACAAAAATATATTAATTTTCATGAAAATAAATAAATAAATGTTACATAAGTATAGTAAATTTGATTTATATATATATATATATATATATATATATATATATATATATATATATGTATATATATATTCGAATAAGATTTAAAAAATGTTTAAAAATTATTTTAAAAACAAATTTAGAGTGAGGGAAAAACATGCTTTCATATATTTTTATTAGTTAACTTAAAATGTAAAAATTTTTGTTCTCAAATTCTATTTATTAAACAAATAATTACGTTTGAAAATACGTAATCATATTATGCAAAAAATATAATAAAATATATTTTTAATGAAATATATATGATCTTATAAAAATAAAAAATAAAAAATATTTTATAATTAAAGCATTTAATAATTATTTTATTAATGCCGGGTCATATGCTCCAATTATAAGAAATAAGCAGTTTGATAAATTATAGATTAAATTACAAAGATATTTTAATTATTTATAGAAATGTATAATAGAATCGACAAAACGCATAAAATTCTATGCATATATTTTGGATTATCCGGTGCTCCAAATTATATTCCTAAATATTACGTCGATGTGTAAAATATTTAAATTTTACGACCCACTTTCACCTGATCAATTAACTTTCTGCAACTACACTTCTTTATATCAAGTCGATACTACAAGCAGAATAAACTTTTCAAGTAACTATATAATACTTGAATAGTATTAAATTGAAAAGCCTCACTTGCCATTGCCATCTATGACCGATAATTAAAGAGAAAGAAGTGTATATCGAAATCCATTCCCCATCAACGCACTTATCAGAACAAAAGTATTATGTAGCAAAAAAAATTATACAGAAGATAATTAACACAATAATAGCTGACAATAACTAATCTCTAAATATTTTTATTTACAAAATACTTTCGATGTGTATTAATCAAATACCAAGAAAGAAATTAAGGTTAACGATAACTTCCATCACTTTCTTCTTTGTGATGATCATTCAGTAGTTTCCTCTCCTTTATCACGTAAAAACACTTACATCTCTTTTTCATTCCAATCTATAACGAACTATTTACATTATTTCTAAAATCGGAAAATTATTGCATAGCGCAAGATATCATCCATCCGAAATTTCGAAATAATAAATTTTTAATATCATACATTCCCCTACCAATTACTTGTTCACTAACATTTCCATCCCTAATTAAGCAAGACTAATTAATTATGAGTTTTTATGAAAAAATTTACGAATTTTTATGGAAAAAAAATAAAAAAAAATAAGTTATATATAATACAAAAGGTGCAAATTTCAAGATTAATGTAAAACATTTAGGATAGTTAATAAAGAGAAACAGAATTTTAACAATTACATTTAAAAAAAGTAAAAAGATAATTAAACTTTTATAAAGTAATAAAAAGCTATTTTAAATATTACATTAATTTATTAAATATTCATTGAATTAGAATTGTTTATATAGTAAAACAAAAACTTTTAATTCAAAATATATCGTTTGAAACTTCTCAATCAATAAAATGTTAAAAAAAATAATTCTAAAAGATTAAATCAAGAAAATAAATATTGACTGTAAAAAGCAAAATTTTTTTTTCGTTATGTTTCATAATTTTAATAATCTATACACAAAGAGCTTATTTATTACACGATATATATGAATATACGTACTTACGCGTGTGTTTGTCCGTGTTAACCCACATAGATGCGCACATAAACAGTATTATATTATTTCTACATTAATCGTCTTTATAAATAAGTTTTGAAATACCAACGAATAATAACAAGAGAATATTCATAGTAAATTATTCACCTTATATCAATTAAAACTAACTCTCGTCAGAAAATAAATTATTAATGTTATTAAAGTATAAATTTTATAATTGAATTAGTTTTTCTTCAATATGAAAAAAGGCCCACGAATAACAATTTATTATTATATTTATTAATAATCATTATCATATCGTTTAATATGCCAATTATCACATATATGACGCTAAAATGAATATTTACTTTGTATAAAAATAAAACTAAATGTCTATATTTTCATCATTAAAGTAAAATTAATAATTTTATTACTACTTTGAAAGTATTTGTAATTATAAAAATAAATATTTGACATAATTCGAGCTATGTCAGTAGTAAATAAAATGATGTGCTTGCGTATTGTATTGACTTTCCTAATGAAATTAATTAATTCAA